AGGAAATGAATTAAAAAGGGTAACCAAAGCGGAAGGACGGACGGGGGGCAGGGGTCCGGGGATGTTCAATTCGATATACTCGAGTACTGTAATAATATTGCTTGAACAATATGCTCCTGCTCCTGCTCCTGCTCCTGCATGAATGATTAGTTAGTGGCTAACTTACTGTCCACTAACTTAACCAGACAGGCTACTGTAAGGATAGAGAAAGAGAAAGAAAAAAATAAAAACCACAGTGGGGATGATCAAAGAACAGCCGTGGCAAACTGCAGCTTGACTGAGTAGGACAAGTACTGAGTAGTAGATTACTTAGTGGAGGTGATGATGATGGTCGTAGTCGTATTAGTAGCAGTTAATTAGACTACTAGGTAGAAAGTCTCCCTCCCGTACAGTACTGTACAGTCAGTCCACAGTGAACGAGGAAACGAAGCTAGTGCTTGGTTTGTTCCTCTCTGCTTCCAACCTACGGTTGGTAGGAAGTTAACTGCATCCGCATTCTACCAGTCGATGCAGTGGTAGCTTTCCACTCCCGAGCCGCCTAGAAGCAACAAAATGAGGTCGTTTTCGGGCTGGCACCATTCACTTTCTCCACCATCCCAGACTCAATCCAGTTGCCTTGGGTTGTACAGTACATGCAAATACATAGGGATGCATGAAGGGATCGAAGGGATCGACAAGCACTTTCATCATCATTTGTCGTGTTGGTGCTTTCTAGTCTACTACCTACCTGTAATTACTGCTCAGTAGACTCATCATGCAAGAAGGTAGAGGTTGAAATGACTGCACTTCGGGTCTTCTAGAGTGCAGGCAGATAAGCACCCGTGCACCAATCAGGACAACGGCTTTACAAGTCGAGGACAACTTTGGCTGGTAGATTAGGTTTCAACTACGTCAAGATCCAGGCCGGTGGAGCCTCGGTCTCAAACCCAGAAAAAAAGAGGTTGCTTCCAACTGACGGCGCTAGTCCTTCCTTGCCTGAACCGCTACTGTGATCCCGTATTGTGCTGTAATATTTTACCCGGCTCCTCCACTCTGTAATCCCAAAACAACATTTCTTGTAGGTCAAGGAAATTGGGTTCTTTTCTCCAACTCTCCAATTCTCTCTCATAATGAGCTTGGCCCTGGAGTTCTTTTCGTTATCCAAAAAGAGGAAATTAACCCATGCCCATTACCTGTTACCGTTCGTGTGGGTTTGGAGATGGCGTGGCTTACAGTATCTTCTGATCTCCTCTCCTAGGTGTTCGCTTTTCCTATCCCATCTCTACTCAACAGCGGCATGCTGCTCCTGAACACTGTCTAGGACTGCACCACGGGCCGGATTGTGAATCAATGCTCGCAATGAGTACCTGAGGTGTAGACCAGGAGATGCCAACCTGAGAAATCTGACAAGACTCCCTCATTCCCTTTATGGTCGAAGAAATGTAGACTACCGAAGCGACAAGAACCGAAGGCCCGGTGAGTGACTTGGTAACGGCAGGAATCACTTTCCACATTTCCGTGACATGAAGCTCGTTCGATTAAGTACGAAAGTCAGTGGGGCGGTGCAGGGATGGAGTGCTTATCCCCAAGGACGATCCAAACAGTTGGTCAGCCTAGACTGGAGACGCATGGCCGGTGGGTATCTAGCCACTATCTACCGTACCGACCCTAGAGGAGAGAAACTGATCCGGGAAGACTTGCTTGAGTATAGGAGAAATGCACAAGTTAATGACTACCCACACAGTTTTGACTTAATAAAAAAGGCTGAGCAAGGACAAACACTACACATGGCAGTTCCATCAGCAGAAGCAATGGAGGATACAATTGGCCAAGTACCTAGCGCAGACGAGAGGCGGATTATTCTAGGTGAGTGGCTACGGACAGCACACTCACCTCAGCTGTTAGGGTTAGAGGTCGGTGGCTACTGCAATGTTATTCCATCGCCAAGGACGCTGCATAGCACCCTGTGCCTCTAACTTCCTGGCAGAGCGCACAAATGTTATATTAATTCATCCAAAAACATGAGTTATCAAATCTGCCAGGCAGAACACTCTACCTAGCGCCTTCGCGACCTGCAACATCACAACCACATAGCGCAGCGCCCCAGCTGCCGCAGTTATAGATGAAAGGACGCATTGAACAAGTAATTTGGCGTTCTCTTCGGAGCTTAGTCAAGGCGACCACAAGAGCGCAAAGACTGTGGGAACAAAGTGACCATCCCTGTCGCCAAATAATAATGAAAGCCCTGTGATTGACTGGTACGTACTGCTTTGTAACTGAGTGCAGCTTACTAGAACTTACCCCACGCTGTGGTGCAGGCTGTCGGGCGATCAATGGTAAGTTAATCAAGACGGTATAACAAGTGCATACACAATTACAGCTAGTATATGTATTATTGGCAGATGTCGGGAGGTGGGATAAGTTCCCTGGGAACGGAGCGGTAATCTACCTAGTTGCGGTGCATACCAGCTGTCCGCCCGGCCGTTCGAGGTCAGCTCAGACCTTCCGACAACGGCCAAGCTGGGCGCCTTTCCCAATTCATCCCGGAATCCCTCCCCCCTCCCTCTCCCTCCTCTCTCGGGCCACGTTTCCCACTGGCCCCCTTCCTGGACGTGCTTCCAGCTGGCCGGGCCACAGCGGCTGCCTTCAAGCCTGCCCCCGATTTCGGAGGCGTGTGCCCCAGTAACCACTCAGTTATGAGACTGTCTAGCCCCTTTGGGGATTTCTCTAGTTCATTCTTTTAGGTCATCTTCTCTTGAAACCTACCACTTATCGACTAATCTCTATCTTTTTGCTCGACCTTCATCACAGATTGAACATTGTAACCAGATCCTTTTCACAACCTTGAACGCCTATGTAGCAACTATTTCTATTCTTGTCAATTTTCCGGGGAATATCCACCCTGAAAGCTCTCCTCCCCTCCATTTCGCTGCCGAGGGGCCGATCCAACGCTTTCCCCGTGGGATCGAAGCATTCCATGCCCGGGATTGGTGTACGTACTGTATAGTCACTTAGAAAAGATACACAAAGTAGGCCCGGGGACAATTTAATTAGCCGTTGAATGGCCCCCGGCCAATACGCGCCGCCTCATCTTGCATACACCATCTCCGGAAATACGAGCGGTTCACATGGCCGGACATCTACAGCCTACAGGAGCAGAAGTACAGTGCTGTACTCCGTACTTTAGCAGACTATTACCCTCTCCTGCATCCTGTATTGCCCACTCACAACTTTGGAATTTCACAACGCAGAGATAGGATGTTTAGTGCCGAATCCCAGGACCGATAAGCATAGCCGACATCCATAAATGTAATGCAAATTGTCATACACAGATCTCTCAATCTAGCCTTCTCGATATCCCTTCATGCTGTATGGAGCATGAATTCTGAGAGGGCATATGCATCCAGTATTGCGGTCCCCGGATCATACCGACTGCGTAACAACTGCTAAAACGTGTGGCCTGTGGCTACGACTCGATTTCCCAACCCCAACCCCAAGACCTTTCTCTCAGACGACCAGTTGATCGATAAGGCGGCACCAGCAACCCCTCCTCTTATCACCGATCGAGTGCGAACCTTTCGTTTCGGCCGATTTGAAGTCGAGACGGAACAGGCAATCAAATCCTCAGCTGCAGCGATCATGCCCATGGCCACCATCCACCCTCATTAGTCGATTCATGGCACCTCACTAGCTCTCGGGGAACCTGCACTCCCAGGGTTGCGGCAGGATGGAGATGGGCCGAAAATGGTTTCCCTCGGTATAAAGAGCGTCTCCAATACAACCCGATAGCGTGGGAAATTGAGATTCACTCAGTCACATTGTCGGGAGTCGGGACGATCAACCTGCCCAGTGCCCACACCAGAGAGAGGATGTTCTAGTAGTGCAGGAGGGATGATTGGGGACGAGCATCACATGACCGAGCGGAGATGCCAATGTTTCCGTCTCCCGAATTCTCCCGGAGCGTGTCTGCTCAGGCTTGACCGATTTAGGTTCACCGGATGTGATCTTGTCGAAGGAGCGGAAGACTGCAACCCTTCGGAAGTTTTAGGAGTCGATGACGGTAACGGTCGCAAACAAAACAAGTACTGGTACTGACGGAGAGCTGTACAGTACACTACTTACTGTAACTACATAGTACATCTTCCCTACAGCTGTTCCGGGGAGAGTGCAGGCCGCACTTGAAGTCGTTCCTCCGTTTCCTTCCGCTGATGATTTGTCCTCCTCTGACTGGATGAAGCCCAATGGCTCATCTTGCAGGGCCGGAGCACTAGCAGTAGTTTGTCCTGCCACTGCGACACACCGTTACAGGTTACTGCATCTCGGTAGACAGAATGTGGAAGGACTTGTGGTGGAGCAGACTGCTCCGTGCAGATGGTCTGATTCTCACATCCTTTAAGGTACTGGTAGTCAGTCAGTCTACACTACATAGGCAGTTCCTAGGCACAGTCTTCGTATACCGAGTCTCTCCCGCGCTCAGGTCGAACGACCACTAGAGGAATGTTTGCTTGACTGTGCAGCTAATAAACTACCCCATTATCATGGGATTGCTCCTTGCCTCACCCAGAATACAAGAATAGAAGAAAAGTGTCACAAATCTGATTGTTCGTCCGATGGGTCTGAGGGCTTTCCACAGAATCTATATATATACATGTACATAGTGCAGACTTTGCAGCTTCCGTAGATACAGGAGTTTGCCATCGCCAGTGTCTCTTGAGCTTCAGACGAAGGAATGGACTTGGATCACGAGGGCTTTACTGGATGTGACTATCAAATCTTGTGTAGATTTAGCACAGACTTGGCTCTGATAGTCCAAAGCTATTGGCTATGGAGGTACAGTGCTGTACCTAATGTCTAGGAGTAGTTCGGAAGCATCAGATAGTTGCTTCATAGTTAACAAGCTATTCTGTGCAGAATGCGGAGTAAGTGTAATCAATTAACAAAAAATCGAGGAAATACATTGAATCAATTTAGTAGCCCCAGGTCTGTGCCATTGTAGGTTCCTAAAGGCCATTGTTCAGAATGTCAGAATACATGATCTGAAGTGCGTATCCAGCCCGCACCCAACAGTGGCAGACTCGAACAGGTCGGGTAAGCTTCCGTCGGAGAGGTCCTTCCCCGCACGCGGAGACTCCCTCCTCTTCCGCCATTGATTGTTTTTTCTCGGTTTCCCCTTGCAACTGTCATTCATTAGCATCCACACACACAACACTGAATCAAGTCACGCACAAACCAATTCCCATTCTGTCGCAGAGAGTGCGCTCTCTACCTAGCCTCAAGACTACAACAGAGCACACCTAAGCTGCGCTATTAGTCCGGTCAACCAACACAGCAACACGCATATTCCACCGGAAGGCTTGACCGGACACAACACAAACCGCAATGCTCTCCCTTCCCCTCATTACCCCCCGCGATGTACGTCATCTCTGCCTTGAACATAAATGACTTTCGAAGTACAATCCACCTCATGCAATCTCTCGTCTCTAACGAACCATCCTAGTCCCACGAGCTCTGGTTCGGTTCGTCGCAACCTTACCGCTCCTCATCCTCCACCTCCGCGACACCTAATCACTCCCACCACCACCATCACCCGGGAGAACCCCACGGCCCCAACCGCCGCAATGGCAGCAACCACCCCAGCACCGGACGCGGCCTTTCTGCCTCCTCTGGAAATATGCTCTCATCACTCCTCCTCGAGGAACGGGCCCTCCGCGCCCGCAAAAACAACATCGCCTCGTTCGGATACTCGTGGATCAAACCGGCCGGCTGTCCCAAGACGATGCTGGGGATGAAAGAAGAGGAAGCGGAACGGGAGGAGGCTCTGGCGGCCGCGGCCGCGGAGATGGCTGCTGCGGCTGCTGCCGCCGAGGCCGGCATGGATGACTTCGGGGGCCAGACGCAGGATACAATGGACGGAGAGGGGATGCAGGACGATACGGGGATGGAAAGAGACTTGGATGATGACATCCCTGATGCCGATGCGGACGGTCTAGTCGAGGAAGGGGAAGAAGGACTGGAGGAGGAGGGTGTTGTGGACGAGGACGAGGAGGGATACATGGAACGCGATCTGGATGATGACATCCCCGAGGCCTTTTCTGGTTACGATGACGACGATGAAGAAGATCTGGACGAGGAGAACGAGGGTTTCGACGACCAACCAGACCTGGACGCTGATATCCCTAGTGCGGCGGAGGAAGGTTACGATGATTATGATGACGATATGAGCGAAAATGGAGCTATGGGCCGCGATCTGGACGATGACATCCCTGAGGCTGATAACGATCACTATGCGCAGGGAGAGGAAGAGGAATGGCAACATACGGATACCGACGCCGAATTCGACGATGAAGAGGACGTCAGCTTTGCGCAAGATCCCTTTACGCAAAGTCTTCGCGCAAGTACGAGCAGCCGTGGTGGCTTACCTCCGGTACCAATGCGACGAGAGCGCGAGACAGAGGCTCAGCGAAGGTTCTTGCAGCGCTGGAGTGGTGGCGGGGATGCGTTTGACACCAGCAGCATGCTCGTAGACGAAGAGGACCTACGAGCGTCGATAGCCAGCCAGGCCAGTCGGAGGAGTGTTTTCAGTCGATTTCCTCGTCGTCGAATGGGAGGCCCCAGAGACAGCCTCGAATAAAGTTATATTCTGCATTGTGGCAGTCGGGTGCTTGGTGGCTCAACATGTGCGGCGTGTATGGAGGTCTTTTTTCTTTCTCCTGGGGAGGGTGGTAATCATGGCAATCAATCTGGCGTTAACAGGGGAATGAGCAAGTCGAGTATGTTTTGGCTTGTAGAAGAGCCAAGCGCATGATCAAGAGTAATGTTTGCAGATGGTATAGCTGGTTTTCAGTGGCTATAGAAACACCCATTACATGTCATAATATCGATTTTCAGGGCGGGAGACCCCATTGTCCACAATATTCTTATAGATTGGGTGCTTTCTTGCATGAACTGTGTTGTATAAGTAGGTGTGCTTTTCCTGTGCAGCTGCTCAGTGGAGCGTAAATGGCCAGGGCTACCACAAAGTGCCAACAAGCTCAATCCTTGTGCTATAAACATGAGAAGATAGCCAACTAGGCGCTGTGAAAATCCAAAGCCCTATGCTATGCTACATTATATACATATCTCATTGTACGCTGATAACCAAAAGCATCGAGGTCTAACTCGCTGATCACATTGGACGGCGACAAGCAGCATAGAGACCAAACTCCGGATATGCACTGTCATAGCGATAAGAGAAGCTCGACAGAAGAACGATACAACAGGAAGCATTATTCATTTGCCGTAAGAAGCGAGTGCCAAGGTGGGCAGGCCAGATAATTATTTCAAGTGCAATCCGAATGGCCAATCTTCTAATTAGGAGCGCGGCGGTGTACGAATCATGTTGGCCGGGAAGAGAAGATAATTAGGTAGTAATATAAGGTAAGCGGATCAGCCGAACACAGGGGACGTCGAATGATGGAGCGCATGCTGAGCAAGAACAAGTATCTGTAGCACCAAGTGGAGATACCGCACATGGGTTCTGATGCTCGGGAAGCTGTTGGGAGCGAGTGGTTCTGAGAAGCGTGCCTGCGCCCGTCGACTAGGTTATCCACACATATGCGAATAGCAAAAAGACGGCCAGGAAGAAGGCCAGCCAGACTCGCCAGTTTACACCGGTACGCTCCGCCATCCGCAGCATACGGGTCATGTTACCGCGGAGACGCACTCTGGTATTCTCGAAGGTGTTGTTGAGGTCGGAAATCGCCGAGGTATCCCGAATTTCATCGCCGATGGCGACGGTAAGCTGGACGCGAGTGATTAGTATCACCTGCCTGGAGACAATGGCCTGCATGCTTACATCTTTCAACATCTTGACCTTCGCACTGATTCCTTCCACTTCTGCATCGTTCTGCGACTCCAAATGGTCGAGGACAGCATCCGAGTAATGGCCCCTACAAGCCGGAAGATGTAAGCAAATTGCACACCGGAGCCCTTCGAAATGCCCGCCCTTGGCATGGATTGCGGACAACTTACTTCTTGTTGGGAGTTGCTGTCCTGTATCCTGCTGTAGGTCCGCCAGTCCCCAGGCCCTCGCCAGCTGGTGGAGTATAGCCTCCGTATCCGTAACCTCCTATGCGGCCAGGAGATCGACTGGCCGGCCGAGAATCGCCGCCATAAGAGTCGAAAAGGGAAGACGAGGCGCGGGGATCGCGTTGGTGAAGATTTGAACGTGGAAATCTAGTGGCACATAATCAGAATCTATTACTACCACTATTGCGGATGAAGACAGTTGGCATGGCCATACCGTGAGGCCATAACGAGTCGTTTCGTAGTCGTGGGGCGGGTGAGGTCGATTAAGAGAATTATTATTCCAACAGCTCATGCAACTTAGCTGGCAAGCATTTCGATAGGTATTATGGGACGCTCTCGACAAGTGCCAGCCTGTCTGAATGGCTAGGGAGCTGACGAGTCTATCATGGGACGGGGTATTGCAAGTCGGTTGCGGCGATGGACTCGGCGAAACACGCTGGCTACTAACCCGGCCGCTCTGCTCGGGCGGAGATGCCTCCGGCACGTGAGCCAGCCTACAGGGTCTACGTAACTGGACAGCTCCTGCTGGTAATTCTTGAATATGCGATTGGTTTATGGGTTCAGCACATTGCTGCAATCACTGCAAGTATCCTCTCACTAATTGACCGAACTGGAGTTTATGCTAATACAATCGCGAGGCGAGATCTGTAAACTCATGTTGGCCCCGATGATGTGTGCATGCACATAATAGCAAAGATCTCTGCGCGGACAGACACAGGAACATTTGTAGAATAATCTTTTATCCCAAGCCGGGAAAAAAAGCCAGCATTGATTAAATAGCCAAACAAACCCCGACGTTAACGAATCCGATGAAGACCCCCCAAATCCTGCCTGCGCCTGTCAACCAATTGCCCGTTCACACTCGCCGCCCCTATGGTAATGGTGGTATGATAGTCTTGTCCGAGTCATTAAGAGATCGTGCATTTCAGCCGCGCATGACGGTATCCTCGTCGTCTTCCCCACCCTCATAATCCTCGTCGTCGTCCTCCTCGTCGTCGTCCATCATGTTATCGGCCTTGAGCTTCTCGGCTGCCGCCTGATAATCAACGATCTTGCCGCGAGTACGACGGCCACCCGAGATAATGTTTTCCTCAGATATGGGCTCGAGGTTATCGCCGTCTTCATCATTGTCTGCCGAAAAAAGTTATAGATTAGAATGGCACTAATTGTCGTGGTGTGGCTCATTGCATATCATACCGTCTTCAGCCTGTGTACCATCGCGAAAAAATTGGTTAGTTTCGCAAGTCAGATAATGTTTTTAAGACGGGGTTTGTCGTACCATCTCCTCGTTCTCGCTCTCGTCGCTATCCTCCTCCTCTAGGTTCTCGTCGTGGGTAGGCTCGGTAGCCCGACCCTTACCCTTATCCAGAGCAGCGGCATCGGGAGCGTTGGCGGCGCGGTCGAAGCCGGGAGTAGTGGCCTGGTTGCTGTCACCCATGGTGAAAAGTTCTCGGTTCTAGGGAGAAGGTCGGAGATGGACTAGAGTGTACGAGTGCGCAAAGGTAATGGAAAGAGAAAGGAATCACAGGAGGTTGTTCCAAAGCAGAGATTTTAGGGATGTGTTGAGTTCAGGCGCAAGGGAGATTCAGCTCAACAGTCCCCGGAGCGGTGGTTGCCCAGGGCGGCACACCTGCGGCTCCCGTGACTGAGGACTGAGGATTAAGGACCGAGGATTGAGGCGCCCACCACCTTATGCATAGCATAACAAACATGCTACCTGAACGATCCCCCGGCCTAGCGGCATTACTCAGTAGCTTACAGGAATCCGGAATCCCCTCGAGACTTCATTCTGGTCTTCTGTTCTACTCTCAAGTATAGTCATGATAGATGTGTTATGCCTTGCTACACCTCGACTTTACTCTCTGAGGTAGCTCCAGCTCATAGAACAAAAGGAGCCAAATCAATAATCAATAGAATAGAACTCTTTCGGCCGATCAACCTTCATGATTCTAGTTTGAGTTTCCAACGCCTCGTCTCTTTCGCTTCCCCTTGCTGCTGTTCATATGGCCTCCTCCTAGTAGATATCTTTCTACTAACTTGAGGCTTTATCCACATTTCTACTTCATAATTCGAAAATGATAAGAAAAACAAGAAAAGCAAAAGTGATAAAAGGAAAGAACAAGAATACTTACCATCCAGGTACTTTCACAGAATGAAAAACCAGAAGAAATGTTTCATCATAGATATTGGGCGGCCGGCAAGCACTCATGCACAATCCAGAGCTGTGTTAAATGCGGCCATTCCTGTTCAATAATGTGACCGATCTCGTTACATTGATCAATAGTGCATGATGCATTGGCATGACTCATAAACAGGCTTCACAGAGGGTAAGATGAGTGAGAAGAATGCCGGTTGAAGGTGTTGGTCAAATTGACCCGTGCGCGCTCTTCTTCCGAGTCCTTGAAGACGGTGGCATCATCGAAGCCTCTAAAGCGAAAGGATTTAATCCTTGACAAATGCTTATCATAGACCGATAAGTCTACTTTTCGAAAGGGCGAATAGCTTCGCAGATCTGATTGAGCTGTGTCTCAAGCTGAGCACGACATTCGCAGTCTCTGTTCAGCCATGCAACACATAGCACATCCGAGAATTATCAGCGAAGACACCTGACAGAATGTGAAATCATCGTCAGCTTTTGTAGCCTGGATGCATGACCAATGAGTCTTAAATCTGGTTCTATGCTGAGAAAGCATTAGATGATTATCCTTGGATCTTCTCCGGTCTGGAAGTACTTACCTGAATATCTCATCCACTTATAGAACGCTTTCGTCGGACTTCGTATGTCTGATTCCACTCAGCACAGATTTTGGAGGCTTGAGCCTTTGTCAGTACACGGCGGATAGAGAATCAATAAGAAAAAGCATAACGGTTCAATAGGGAAAGGCACCGAGTTGGAAATTGCTTCCAAGCTGCACATCTGCAGCTCAGAAACGCCTTATTCCTGCTACTGAAAACTGGTGCATGGTTCAGTTAAGCTTCGCGGATGCCAGGAGTATTGTTGGAAGATGAATGCTTGGTGGACAACCATGAAAGAAGAGGCTGGAGAGGATAATGAAGGTCGATGGAGAGAAAGAGCTGGCGATGGAATGAGTGTGGGGGTTTAAAGCTAGGACAGAGGTAGGGCAGCGCTCGACCTTTTTATGTATCTGGCTTGGTTTTCCGTTCGAAGTATCTGTTGGCCGGTTTGAGTCCTCAATACTGGCCAATCTTTGTGTTATCTTCATGTGGGTTGTTGATCTAATTACACGGGGGCACAAGGATATTAACAGTGTTAGACCTGATATTCATGTTCGAGGGATACAGTGTAAGCGCGACATAATAATGTCGACGGAATAATGCTTGTCAAATGTTCTTCTCCGAGCAAAAGCTACTGGTGAGGCTGATATGATCGCTATGGCCTGCTGGAGACGTCCTCGCTGCGTTCGACATATTTCCTACATATATGGCAGATATGCAAACCTGGACTTAGGGCACATCGGCCGCAATGTTGGCTTCTGAACGAGTTGCTTCTAACAAAGCTACATGAATTAATCTTAGGACACATAATTTTGCCGTTACCATGTAACAGGCCACGGCACAAGCATATACAACAGACCAGAAATCTAGACAATGAAGAGACCAGTGTTAGCCGTCATGATGACGGACCATATTCGGTTTGATTCCATGGGTAATGTTGTCTGATCCAATATTGTACTCATGGACGACCTTATTATCAGCCATTAACGTTACTTGTGTCCCGCTCTGATCCGGCACTGGGGTGAATTTGATCCATGCACAGGGAGAATGGTAGAGTTATAGGTGTGCAAGAAATAGTAGCTACGACGCATAGTACCTCCCGGTAGCCATAGTACTGTGATTTGTTTTTTTTGAACAGATGTGAATGTTTTATATGGGTATCATATACTATGTAGTAGACTACGTACTTACTACCTCTCTACTTACTAGCTCTCTACTCAATGCACTCCTAATTCTTCCATCAGACTCATGAGTCAGAACAAGAGAAAGAGAAAGAGAAAAAAGTCTGAAAGAAGATGAGATTACGTCACCCACTTAGCTGGGTACCCCGCCAACCGCCGCCCAAAAAGCCTGGCAGAAAAAAACGGAAAACACCCCTCCTTGTCCAAAAATGGAAACCCTCTTTTCCTTCCAAAGTTTCCATCAGTTCCGCCAAAACGTCACCTGTGTAGAGTCAGTCTAGAGTCTATACTGTGTTTGTTAAGGACCCCTGTCAGGGCCACTAAGTAATGAAAGTAGTAGCTTGTCGTAGCTTGTAGTTTAATCTAGCAGGGACGAGGATCATCCCACAGATTCTTCTTCCTCAGTTATCGAATGGCCCAGAACTGCAGGCGGTCTTCTCGAAGCTGGCGATGGAGCGGGTGGAAGACCATCGAACCGCATGGATACCCGTCGAACCGCCGCTTGCTAGAAACTTCGCTGGAGTTGCCATTTCACCGCCCGCCACTATATCAACGTTGCCAGTCGCACATTTTCCCAACTCCCTCATTCATCTATTTTCTAAACACGCAACTACTACTACTACTACCTCCCATCTCTCCTACCTTTTCTTCTTTACCACCCTCTAAGTCTCTTATACCCTTTCTCGAGGCTTTTTGTACATTACGATATTCTTCCTGTTTAACGAATTCCCTCTATCACGCACATCACATCACACATCATGGCCCCCGCTGTCGGTATCGATTTGGGAACCACCTACTCCTGTGTGGGTGTCTTCCGTGATGACCGTATCGAAATCATCGCCAACGACCAGGGTAACCGCACCACCCCCTCTTTCGTGGCTTTCACCGACACCGAGCGTTTGATCGGTGATGCCGCCAAGAACCAGGTTGCCATGAACCCTCACAACACCGTCTTCGATGCTAAGCGTCTGATCGGTCGTCGTTTCGCCGATGCCGAGGTCCAGTCTGACATGAAGCACTGGCCCTTCAAGGTCGTTGACGACAAGGCTGGCAAGCCCATTGTCGAGGTTGAGTTCAAGGGCGAGACCAAGCAGTTCACCCCCGAGGAGATCTCTTCCATGATCCTCACCAAGATGCGTGAGACCGCCGAGGCTTACCTTGGTGGTACCGTCAACAACGCCGTCATCACTGTCCCCGCCTACTTCAACGACTCCCAGCGTCAGGCCACCAAGGATGCTGGTCTCATCGCCGGCTTGAACGTTCTCCGTATCATCAACGAGCCCACCGCTGCTGCCATCGCCTACGGTCTGGACAAGAAGACCGAGGGTGAGCGCAACGTCCTCATCTTCGACCTGGGTGGTGGTACCTTCGATGTCTCCCTCCTGACCATCGAGGAGGGTATCTTCGAGGTCAAGGCTACCGCTGGTGACACTCACCTGGGTGGTGAGGACTTCGATAACCGCCTCGTTAACCACTTCGTCTCTGAATTCAAGAGAAAACACAAGAAGTAAGTCACGTGACTTTTCTTAATTCCCTCTCACTTCCCATTCATTTTCCCTTCACTTTCCCTTCATTTTCTCTTCACTTTCCCTTCATCTTACCATCAATTGGTGTATGAACCTTTGTGCTAATGTTCGTATAGGGATTTGACCACCAATGCTCGTGCTCTCCGCCGTCTCCGCACTGCCTGCGAGCGTGCCAAGCGTACCCTCTCTTCCGCTGCCCAGACCTCCATCGAGATCGACTCTCTCTTCGAGGGTATCGACTTCTACACCTCCATCACCCGTGCTCGTTTCGAGGAGCTCTGCCAGGACCTCTTCCGCTCCACCATGGAGCCCGTTGAGCGTGTTCTCCGTGACGCCAAGATCGACAAGGCCTCCGTCCACGAGATCGTCCTCGTCGGTGGTTCCACCCGTATCCCCAAGATCCAGCGCCTTGTCTCCGACTTCTTCAACAAGGAGGCCAACAAGTCCATCAACCCCGATGAGGCCGTTGCCTACGGTGCTGCTGTCCAGGCTGCTATCCTGTCTGGTGACACTTCCTCCAAGTCCACCAACGAGATCCTCCTGCTCGACGTTGCCCCTCTCTCCCTCGGTATCGAGACCGCTGGTGGTGTCATGACTGCTCTCATCAAGCGCAACACCACTATCCCCACCAAGAAGTCTGAGACCTTCTCCACCTACTCCGACAACCAGCCCGGTGTCTTGATCCAGGTCTACGAGGGTGAGCGTGCTCGCACCAAGGACAACAACCTGCTCGGCAAGTTCGAGCTTACTGGCATTCCTCCCGCCCCCCGTGGTGTTCCCCAGATTGAGGTCACCTTCGATCTCGATGCCAACGGTATCATGAACGTCTCTGCCATCGAGAAGGGTACCGGTAAGACCAACAAGATCACCATCACCAACGACAAGGGTCGTCTCTCCAAGGAGGAGATCGAGCGCATGCTTGCGGATGCCGAGAAGTTCAAGGCCGAGGATGAGGCCGAGGCTTCCCGTATCCAGGCTAAGAACGGCCTGGAGTCCTACGCCTACTCCCTTAAGAACACCCTCAGCGAGGGCAAGCTCACCATCAGCGATGCCGACAAGGAGAAGGTCACCGCCAAGATCGACGAGACCATCAGCTGGCTCGACTCCAACCAGACCGCTACCAAGGAGGAGTACGAGTCCCAGCAGAAGGAGCTTGAGGGTGTTGCCAACCCCATCATCTCCGCCGCCTACGGTGCTGCTGGTGGCGCCCCTGGCGGTCCCGCTCCCGGTGCCACCCGCACTGCTGACGACGTCGAGGAGGGCCCTGAGGAGCTTGACTAAATGTCTCAACTTTCAGTTTTGCTTCTAGTTCTTACTACCCATGGCTGTTCATTGGCTAAGTTTTTTTTTTTTTTTCGATTTGCATGTCCTAATCTTCATGCCTTCTGTTTTCTTTAACGAAATTATGGGATCCTTTTCTTGTGCATGATTGCATAGATTCGAGGTTTAGTTTTCGCTGCATGATGATTTACTCTGCAGTAATCAGGAGGGAAAAGTTCCTTTCGACGAATACAATAACTTTTTAATAACTTTCTTTCATCCTATCGTAGTTAATTCTGCACTTGTACGCTCCGAACCGTGATAAAACTTTTGGATACTGCGGGAGTAGCGTAGGACTCGGAACCGTTCTTAGCCTGGATATGGAAAGCCTCAGCCTCATCCTCGGCCTTGAACTTCTCGGCACCCGCAAGCATGCGCTCGATCTCCCACAAGAGACGCTCAGCGTACAATGCTGGAGGTTGACATTTGCCTTGTCGTTGCTGGTGGTGACCTCTGAGAAGGTCATATATAGTTATCAACTAATCTTCATGGTAGGCTGAGAGTGATAGTTCAACTTCCCTTTTGGGTGTTCAAACACATCTTCCTTAGCTGAATTATTCTAATAAAGCTATGGTTCACTGGAGAGTGCAACAAGATTATTGCTTGTGCTAGCTTCTGCACCTGCTGTTGACGATAGTCAAATCCCTATATCTATTCTCATGCATTTAAAAGCCACATGGATCTTATACATTAATAATCAAAGTACATTATCGATGTAGATTATCAGCCTTCATTAGATCGCTCGAAGATTGGGTTAATCATGGGGCTGTTGGTGTTAACTAGCTGGTGGCAATCAGACATGGTATCTACTTTCACAGTCATTGAGATCCTCTGAGCTACGCCCACAAGATTCGCGAGTACCCAGGTGCAGTATAAAACCACCACAGCAATATGTAGAAAGCCCAGGATGTGTAAATCAACCGCATTCCCCTCAACGCCACGCCATTATCCACAAACACATACATTCATATACTGTGCAAAGCATCGACCAGAGGCAGTAGTCTGACTGACCATAGATATAGCATCATCAGAGGTATCACTTTCAAACCCGCCTCCCAACTCAGCCCGAACCCGATCAGCGCGTGCTGCTGCCTTCCCTCTCAACACCCCCAAACCTCCGCACCATCAAGCCACCAATTGTATCCCCGACGAGAGGGAAAGTCCCGAGGCCATGGGCCGTACGCCTGGCGGACAGGAACCGTGCAGCGTACAGGGTCGAACAAGAACGAGATGTCCATCTACTCTGCGAGGCATCACAGCCCTGCGAAATCGCCCGCCCACCAGCGTTGGACCCGCCTCGCCCCCAGCTGCACCACACCCCCGATCCCGATGTCCTTGGCCCGCTCGGGAAATTTCTCGCGCTGTTCGCGCTGGATGCGCAGGAGGGCGGCGGTGGTGCCTATCGCGAAGGCGAAGATGGGATCTGCGGCTCTATTTTTTTTGTTCAAAAAGGAAACTTAGTTTGCGATCGAATCGTTGGTCGTAGTGTCGCGAATCAACTTGCGATTGGTGTTATGGGGGTTGCATTTGGGCGAGAAACTGGAGGCGAGGAAGAGGATGGGTAGCGGGGATGGATTTGTGTCCAGGGTGCTTTTTCTTGGGTATGCATGAATTTGTGGAGGGGGGGTGGGGGGATTGGAATAGGTGATTGACACTGGTGAAGAACTGGTCAAGACATACTTGGAGATTAGGTAGATAGGCATTTTAGACGCTGCGTTGGTGTCAATGACTGTAGTGGTGTGGGTGGTGGAGGTGGAGGGTGGAGTTAATCCGGAAATTAGAATGGCTTTCACTTGTTGCGGCGGTGAGGTAGAGCTAACTACTCCGTTCCTTCGAGGAGCTTCCCGAGGCCCAGGTTCCTGTCTCCCAATGTATGTACTGTATGGGTTACCAACCCATGCCGTGTCACGTTCTCTATAGTGCTGGATGACCTGCCTGTTAATAACAATATACCCTTGGCTCTGCCGACTGGGCCCCCCACCAGCTGGGCAGGAAAGCATAGACCGATTAAGACTGCACCTGCACTCAGCCCTACAAGTCTACCACGTATCCCTGATTCCTCTTTCGCCGCCCACTCGTCGGGATACATCGCCACGTACCGAGTTCACTCTTGCAGCTTGCAGGAGAACCGGACTTTGTGCGACATTGCTGTCATCCGCGAGGCCTAACACTTGAAACACGTATCATTCATACACTCAGACCAGCAAGCTCCCGGACCGGATTCTGCGACTACGGGGGTGATGCTGGCCACGAGGAGTGCGCCTGTCGGGCCTAAATTGGGGAGAGCCTAGGGAGAACCTAGGGAGAGCCTAGGGAGAACCGAAGACCAAGGCCTAGATCAAGAGAGATGACGCCCCCCCGTCGCCGATGGGTACGATCAAAGGCGAAGTCTAGAGGGTACTCCGAAAAGATCGAGAGGGCTAACAACTTGCCCAAATCGACGGGAGCTTGAAGAGACCATACTCGACTACAAGTGTATAAACAAAAAGCGTAGATTGTAAGTCATATTAAGGGGAGATGTGTTTCTTCAATTCCAATCGCCATGCCGCCATCAAACTCGTGAAAGCAAAAGAAAAAGGTCTTGTCTATCAAATACGCAAGGCTCAACAGACTGCTCTATTTTGGCACCAGAAAGCCCCAAATCGAACATAGAAGTGAATCGCGTCCCAAAAAGCAAAGCACCCGCTATTATAATCAACATATAATTACTTTTTTTTTTTTTTTTACACAACCTGGCCAAACGCAGGGATCAGCGTCTGAGCCAGCCAGAAGCTGAACACAAGCTTAGGTCCAGTCATCAACAGCTTGGGCGTCAGACCCTTGAAGAAACTGGTGAAACCCTCGTTCTTCATCATGTTGGACACGATCCGGAAACCAGACTCCGGGTTCTCGAAGTTGCGGTTCTGGATACGGGTCTTGATGACGTCCAAAGGAGCAGACACAACCAGAGAAGCACTAGCACCGCAGATGGAAGCCACGAAGTTCTGGCTCCAAGTAGCAGAGTTGTAGTCCTTCAGCTGGTAGATGTACTCCTTGGCAAAGGCGGAACCACCGAAAAGCTGTTCACATCCGGTCAGCATTTAAGAAACATTCAGAAAAATGGTCACATACAGCGAAAGATCCAGGAGCGTTGCGGGCTGCAGTCCAGCCAGCACCACGGTACAGTCCCATGCCCTCATCCTGGATGATCTTGAAGAGGCCGCGGCCGCGGAAGGCCTCGGGGTTAGTCTGACGCTTGATCTTGAGAACGTCGAGGGGCAGAAGAACGATCTCTCCGATACCGATCAAACTGAGTTACGGTTAGCTATAAGGGGCTTAGGTCAACGAAATCTGAAATGCACACCTTCCAGCTGTCGCGTGCATGATAGCCTTGCCAGTTCCCTTTCCAAAAGCATTGTCGAAGTCGGAACCGTAGTGCTGGGCCAGATAGTCGCGCGCGAAGGGCTGGCCACCGTACTTATATATACGCTGAAGGACCTTGTAACCGGCGGCGTAACCCAGACCCGGGAAAAGAGAGGTAAACTTGCGGCCAGCGGGAGCGTCGGCAAATTCCTTGAAAATAACCTTGTTCATTGCTTCAGAGGAGGAGATCTGCAGTAGAAGATTGTCAGAGAGGCCTTGAGACAGTCGAAATCAGTTGTATAGTTGATGTCATCTTACACGAGTCTGGTTGCTCATCAACCGCTTGGCAATGGTGTCGACCTTCCAGGCGAGTTAGTACAATGTCTCAACCAGCGGGATATCGCTTTCATCACAACAAGTGTGGGGGCATTCGTACAGGGTGAAAAACCATGAGCTCCGTAATACCAGCCGTTCCTAGCAACAGCATTTGGTTAGCAACTGAGCACAAACACCCAACCATTCTCGGGGCCGTGTATAAACACCTACCAGAACCCAGGAGACGAGCGGTCGCGGATTCTCTCTTGACCTCCTTCGTGACAGAGCCAGCACCAGCCTGAACAAGAGCGGGAGACATGTTGATTTGGTTGATTGAAGATGGCGAAATAACTGAATTTTTTCTTTTCCTGTTTGGGGAGTATGAGTCTTATAAAATTGGAAAGAAGGGAAAGAGAAGTATGGGCCCAGGAGAAAACAACTCACCACCAGAGTTAGAGGGGCGAGACACGACTGGAGCCAGACAATGCAGCGATGAAGGGAAGGGAAAGGGGAAAAAAAAAAGGCAGACGCACACCAGCCGAGAGAGAAGGAGAGGGAAGAAGAAGAGAGAGCAACTTTCCCGCAACTTTCTGCGCCGACTCGGAACCACTTCCAGCGGCCGCGGCGGACGGATGAACTCCACTAGACTACTTTAGGCCTGGCACCACCGGCCCTGAATCGGAGCCGCTCACTTCAGACAATTAGGTCAGCACACGCGGCACCGTGACGGGACTCCGGGACGGACCTCAAATGACATTCGCCAGGTGCAGTGCAGTACTTCATATGGTGGCCCAGGGTTTTGATTTCCTTTCCTTTTTTGGGAAACATGTGATTGTGGCGGCCCGAGAATAGTAGGAATAGAAGTGAGGTGTTCATGCAGCTTGAGATTCTCGGAACAATAAGGTACAAACCCGCACCCTCCAAGCTTAGCGGCGCAGCATTCAGGTCAAGGTACAATACATACAATGATTACGAAAATCCCCCGGGTGCTTGGCATCTCGGATCGTGCGCGTTAAAGTCTCCATTCATTCGGCATCAGTTAATCTTAGGTTGGATCCCGTTTAGACGATTTTCACATGAAGAAGACGGCTTGCCAAGAAAAGAGTGAAAGCAAAGGAAGAACACATAAATAGCCCCGTAAGAACGCCGACGGAACGATACATCAAAAGCACCAGTGACCAGCGAAGTCGAGCTTGCCCATCTTGCTATGGCCTACGACTGATAGATCCCATGCCCAACGAATCTCTCAAACGGCCCACGGCGAAGCATATTAGCGTTGGCGCGACTTGATTACTGTAAGGTAAAGCAAGACAGAAACGGACAGGTCGACCAGCGCCTAGTAGTCACCGAATGTGTTCTCGCCGGAGTACCTAGTAGCGACAACCAAATCAGTAAAGGTCATTCACAAGGTATGGGCTTAGAGCTTACGTGATGTAGAGGAATCCATCCTCATCCTTGTGTTCTTCGTAAATGCTGCTCATGAGCGCTGCTGTTGGCGGAAGGACCTCATCAACGAAGATGAAAATGGCCTTCTCAGGAGACAGCTTAATACGCTTGCGAATCACGTAGACAAACTGCCCAACGGTAAGGTCGGCCGGAACGAGGTACTTCTTCTTGTCGATGGTTGCAATATCCGACTTCTCGACCTTTTCGCAGATCACCTGTGGGAAAGAAAAAAGAGCGTGGTTAGTATCGCGAACAAGCGGTGAGCCACGGATACACAATGAACGCCCAAAGGCGATGATGTTGAGCATGGACGGACATACCGGAATGCGATCAGCGTACTTCTGACGGATACGCTCGGCCTCAGCCTTGCGCTTCTCGAAGGGATGCTCGTCCTTGAACTTGGAACGCATGTTGATAGAAGGATCGGGGCGGTTAGGAGGGAGCGGGAGCGTTAGACCGATAGAGATCAAAGGGAACCGATAGTTGCTGCGATATGATACTAGGGTGAGACCGGAATCTGAACTACGATGGAAGCGATGGAAAGAAGCGAAACAGTTGACAGATGAATGTATGAATAGATGGGTAGATGGCTGGATGGCTGGCTGGATGGATGGATAGATAGATCGAGAGATAGATAGACAGAGAAGAGGAGGGTGGAAAGGAGGATGGACGGTGATGACAAAAGGGTCAAGAGAAGGCGGACAGGCAGCCCCGCGTCATGGCAGAGAGCAAGCAGTAGGGGCTGCTGATAAGGCCGCCAGGCAAGCGCGGATCACGGGGGGCGGAGGCGGTGAATCCACGCCCCCACACGTCGGGGTTGAGTCAAAGCAAGGTCAGGTGAGCTGTGTCCTTACTCACTTTACTCCATGGGTATTTGGTATTTTGTCATTGTTCCTTCACGTGGAAGCAAAGGTTCGTCCAACTGACCCAAGTCGGATGATCGTATCGCTTGGCTGCCATCTTGGATTTGCCAGTTCCAGCAGATGTGACTTGACTACTCATGTACGGAGACATACTTGACTGATCAAGTACAAGTAAATATATAGATAGCCTAGTTCGGGTGCGCTGCCACCAGCGCCTCCACTTAGGCCAGTGTCTAGATCCCGAGTCCTTGGTCCCATTTCCGCCCGAGGAGCTTTTGTCTACAGCCCTGAGGACTCCGAAGATGGTTCCTGAGCCAGGGCTTCTATTGTTGGTCTAGCAGACAACCCTACATGTTTGGAGATTTGTAGCATTCCATATCCTGCACAGTACAGTAACATGTCCTCGATCGACAAAGAAGACACACCCACTCTTGTGAAGCCTAGGGGCCGATTAACACGTGACCTTTATAGACCAAGCATACCGTACAAACAGCACAAATAGCACAAACAGCACAAACAGCTTGCAGTTACTGTACCCTCACGACATGGCGGGTTTATGCAAACCGGCGGCCGCAGGTGGCCCCATACTCTGTCGGAACCTCAGTGAGCCAACCAATTATTATCCCGTGAAGTGCGCCGCCGCACTTGGTACTTTCTGCTCCAAACCACCTAGTACCAACCCAACAATAGGCGGAGTCTCGGAAGAACGCAAGCACGCGTCTGGCACCACCTGATCCTTCAACAGATCAGCCAATTCTTCAATTGCCCCGTCGACAATGGCTATGGCTCGGCCATATATGCCTCTGCGGAGGTCCGTTTGTCAGGTCTTCCCTCGAGCATCGTGCACTCCTCGCGGCGTCTCAGCGCAATTTCGCCGGTACCTATCAGAGCAAAAGCCACGCGAATCCAAACCCTTTACTGTGTGGAGGCCGTACCTACGACTGGCAATCGGTGTCCCGTTCATCGCGGCCCTCATTTATTCCATGGTACCTATTGCAACTCTTCAGTCCCGCACTGTTGGCCCCAGTTCTAACCTTGCGATCTATATAGATGACAGGTGAAGTAACCGAACTCGACTCGCCGTCAATTGTGGAGTTCGATGAGGCATTGAAGAAACAAGCAACAATCAGCGAGACGTCACCTATGCGTCTGCGGATGGAGAAGTTGATCAAAGAACACCAGCAGAAAATCGTGGAAGAATTGAGCAGGATAGATGGGAAGCAATTCAAAAGCGACGAGTGGATGCGCCCCAATGGAGGCGGTGGAATTTCCTGTGTTCTTCAGGACGGGAATGTCTTCGAGAAAGCTGGGGTCAACGTATCAATTGTTTACGGAGAGTTACCTCGTCCCGCTATCGAGAAGATGCGAGCTGATCACAAGTCCTTTGTCGGGGCCGATGTGGATTCGCTGAGTTTCTTTGCAGCCGGTCTCTCCTTGGTCCTGCACCCACACAATCCTATGGCTCCGACCGTCCATCTGAACTACCGTTACTTCGAGACGACGGACCCCAAGGATCCAATCAACGGTGACAAGAACTGGTGGTTTGGTGGCGGTACTGACCTGACCCCAACCTACCTTTTCCCAGAGGATGCCAAACACTTCCATCAAACAATCAAGGACGCCTGTGACCGACACGACGCCACATATTACCCCAAGTTCAAAGCCTGGTGTGACAAGTACTTCTATTTACCTCACCGCCGTGAGTGCAGAGGTGTTGGTGGCATCTTCTTTGATGACCTTGACGCCAGTTTCTTAGAGTCTTCGTCCACTTCGTCGCAAAACCCGCAAGAGACTCTCTTTTCTTTCGTGTCGGATGGGCTTGCGTCTTTCCTCCCCTCCTATGTGCCCATCATTGAGCGCAGGAAGGACATGCCATTCACCCCGGAACAGAAAGAGTGGCAGCAGCTTCGTCGAGGTCGCTATGTTGAATTCAACCTCGTTTACGACCGTGGTACCAGTTTCGGTCTTCGTACACCGAATGCCCGAGTTGAAAGCATTTTAATGAGTCTTCCTCGTACAGCAAGCTGGGCCTACATGGACCCAGTGTCCGGAACTCGCACCGAGGAGCTCGATTCAGAAGAAGCGCTGCTAACCAAAGGTAAGGAGCACGAGAAGGAGATCATGGATGTTCTAAGACATCCTAGACAATGGGTCTAGGGAGATCCGGGTTTTGTTTTTCCCATTTCACTTTCCTGTACATCAAGAGCTGGTCCACCCTTTCTTCTGAACGACAATTTAATGTATGTACGATATCGAGTAAAGTGAGACCGATAATCGAATTTCATTCCCACAACAACGGTGTTATGCGGCGCACAATAGGAGTAATTCAATGCAAAGGTATAACGGCTAACACGCCCCCAAGATATAGACACATGGGACACACGGGACGAAGAGGGCAAGTTCGACCAAAAGATATGAGAAGGAAAGAGGCATGACCGAATATATATACAGAAAGCTCAGCTCTATCGACCAGCGACCACGCTTCTCTGTTTGGCCAGCCAACCCTTTTGTGCATCCGCCAGGGTTCCGTGGCGGTATCTAGACATTGTGACATTGTTGTTCTGCAGTCGACTCTGCAAATCATACCATGAGGAGCTCATAAGCTCAAGCTCCCGAGCTTGAGCCTCGATTGTTCTCTGAAGCTCAAGCTGTACAGAAGAAAAGTTAGTGAAGTGACAAAATTGAATCAAAAGATAAAATCGCAAGTTCGCTCCTGGCGCATAGACCCTCACTCACCTCACGCTCTTTGCTGATTCCAGTATCTGTGTCATCTTCGAGCTGCCTTATGCGCTCCTGGAGAAATTTGATATGCTCGTTTTGTTGATGAATGTACTACAACAGTCCAGTTAGTCTCTGGAGCGGGTAAAAAGGGCTCAAGGGTCAAGCGACTAAATCGCATCAGTCGAGCGTCAAGACTTGAACCGTGTGACGAGAAAGCGACTCATATGATACAGACTTGCAGCTTTTCTGGCCAACAAAACAGGCATATTGCCAAACGGCCGGTCCGTATGATGATTGAGATGTTTTCTGTAGCCACTGGAAGGCCCAAAGGGGGCAAGCTTCACGCCGGTCCGATTGACACAAGCCGACAGCTGTGGGGGAAATGTATAACTGACCTCTGCGCGCTTGGCTAGTCTTTCCAGATTCTTCTCTATCTGTGCGGCAACTTGCCGTGTCAATTCCACAGCGGTTTTCTGTGCAGCTTCAGAGTCATCCCCATCCTCCTGTGCTAGTAGTTCAGCAAGCAGCTTCTTCATTTCCTCTGCTGCTTCCTGATCCTCTGCGCGGAATTCCGCTTGCTTCTTCTCCAGAAGGCCTCGAAGTTCGTCGCGCTCAGCACAGGTTACCTGCACCAAAGTATGAGTGGAATCAAGTTCAGCTTGAAGATTGTTGAGTTTGCGCGTCATATCATCCCATGCATCACGCATTTTGCTTAACTCGGTCGCATTGTGTGCCTTGACTTCTGCCATCAAATCAATTCTTTCGTCGCTGGCAAGCTCGACTGCACGGCTATCAGTACGATCGTCTGGGTCCACGAGGCTTCAGCAAACCGAACTTACGCTCTGCCATTGCATCACTCAACGACCGCTTGGTCACATCAAGAGAGTCCTGAGCTTCTGCCAGCCTCTTGAGTGTCACTGTAAACTGATCGTACAACTTCCAATAATCATCGCTAAGGATTGATATTAGAAACGGAACTGACTTATCACAGGCAGACATACCTCTGCGTTGAGTTGGTGCGGGCTTGCTGTAAAGTCTCACTGAATGTGTCAGAGAAGCCTTCGAGTATCTATAAGTTGTCCGTCAATACCCTCGTGGGTGAATTGTTAGCTGTGAAGCGACGTACAGATGCTGAAGGTCCCCTTAATGATTCGACCTCCTTCTTGAGATCCTCGTTTTCAGATTTACTGTTGGAAGTCGTTAGCACATGATTTGCCCGCAATAAGAGGAATGGTTTCCAGACAGTTGAGATTCTTTCACACCGATGGCCTCGAAGTCTTTCTGTAGGGTTCCTTCTAATTTTGGTGTCTCTGTCCCCGGAGTCAGGGATGGACTACCGGGGGACCCTTCCAACTCCCGGACTCGTTCTCTCAGCTCGCTAATCAAGGCGTCGTCGCGCTCGCGTTGTTCTTCGGCGTTGCTAAGACGCTCAGTAAGTGCATGGTTGTTGAACTCCAATTGCTTTTTAAGGTTCTGAATTTCGCTACACTCCTGCTCTATGCGAGGCAGGACTCTCCTGTACTCTTCAAGCTCTACCTCGCGCTCAGAATTCCATTTTTGCTGTGAATCTGTCTCCTTTAGTTGTTGCTGGAGATCCTTAATTTGATTTCTGAGGGACTGGTTCTCCTTCTCAAAGTCCTGGCTTGCTTGTAACTTTTGGCGATATTTCTCGGCTGCGTTCGCTTTCCGGGCTAGCTGGTCTCGTTCGGTCTTTAGCTCATCATAGTCGTCTTGCAATTTTTGGAAACGTTGATTCTTGACTCGCAGTGATTCGACTGTCATGCGCAAACTGTCAATCTCATCTTGTGCCGTGGCTAGTCTGGCTTCTTGAGTAGCAATTATATCTTCCTGTTGGCGTGACTTGGACTCGAGAGCCTTGGCGTTGAGTCCAAGATCTCCCTTACCAGATCGCAGGTTGATAAGCCGATCTTCAGTGGATGCCAAGCGGCTCTGCAAGGTGTCGTTGTTCTCTTGGAGGCGTGCCAAGCGGTCATGCATGTCGTCAATTTGCTTTTGCATGTCCTTTTTCTCCCTAGCCATGCGATTGTTCTCCGCCAGTACCTTCCCGACACGCTCCTCGAACTGTAACTCCGGGTCGACGGGTAGCTCCCGCTCCTCTTTGATGTCATCCTCGCCGTCAATGGCTTCGTGCTGACCATTTTGTGCCTCTTCGAAGATGTTCTTGAGGGTCTCTTGCGTTGGGGTGCTTAGCGTCTGCAAGGTCTCGACATAGGTCGGCGCGTTGGGTGAACGAATGGCTCCGATCAACAGCAATTTGAGAAGCTTGTTGGCCTCTTTCTCGGAATTCTTCTCGGCGACAAGTTCTAGGTTGGGATTCGGATCCAGGCCGGATGGCATGCCATCAGGTTGCTGACGGATGTAGTTGACAAGCAGTTTGTGGATGTGTTTCAAATTCTGCCATTTGGACAGCCAGTGGTCAGACGGGGTTCGTTGGGGAATCTCATCAAGGAAGTACTGCGGGTCGATATCTTGTAGAATCTCCCAGATGATGGTCCCATCGGAGAGCTCCTCTGTTGTGCGAATGGTTTTGCCCAAAGCGAAGCTGTTTACCCACTCCAACAGAGCCTGCGTGATTGTATGCTCCGCGGTCATGGCTGCCGGTCAAGCGGATGAGAGGAGTTGTTCAGAGCCTAGAGAGAGGGTAACACCGCGACCAAGTAGCTGCTGGCGGCGGAGTTATGGAGATGTTTTTGATATGTGTTCGGGTGGGGGTGCAGCCGAATGCGAAGAAGGAAAGAACAGATTAGAGAGAGACCCCTCCTCGACCTAAGAAAACAAAACACAGACCCGGATAACGAAGGATGGGACTGAGATCGTCGAGCGATCGTTTTTTCTGGTAAAAGGAACCCCGGGGGTGTTAAGCCTAAAGGGTTGGAGGGTTGGAGGGTTTGGAGGCGCGGGATCCACGCCACGCGCATCGACAAGATTGAGCTACTATAATTAATCAATCCAGTCCCGCTCGGGGCCACCCAGAAAAGACCTAGTCAATATTAGTAGTTGTATGGAATGTGTTGTATGGAATGTATTTACACTTGATCGCTATGTCGAGCCTCTACTGCAGAATTCCGAAGTATCTACTTATGTCTCGAGCTCTCTGCACGAATAACAACGCCATTGTTTGTAAAAACTGTTCAGGGGAACTTAGCCGCACACCGGGCTAGGAAGACACAAAATCCCGAGATAACTTCTTATCATACTAAACGCAAAGACCTAAAGACACATTCAAACTATATTCCGGCGCCCCACCGCCCCCAATCTCCTCGTAGCCATCATTATCATAACATTATTGTATTCAAGATGTAGCCTTGTGTGAATTGCCGACCTTGGACAACTCAAACTCCCGAGACCAGCAGGAGGTAAGCCAAGTGACAACAGAAAAATCTCACACCTCTTCCATTAGGGCAGCGCCGATTATTTCACTGGATCGAAACGATTTGGTCTTGTTCGATTGTGGGTTTGTAAGCTGCGGACTGGGTCGATATCTGCTGGAGAGCTTCTTCCGGACAGTCGGCCGAAAACCCTCTAGAAGCGAAGGTCAGAACAAGCGACGAGTGATAGGTGCCAGGAAAATTACTTGATCAGAGCTACATAGGTAGAGTATAGTTAGTTCCAGATTCAATAAAAGTGGTAAGAGAAAGGGGTGGGAAAGTTCTTACTAAACTCATGTGTGATTTGGCCACCCTACAGACATAAAACAGTTAGCAAAAGTCGCATGCCACTGACCTTATGACAGGCACTCAGCAGCGTACAGCATTCAGAACGGAGTCTTTGGCCTGCTGGAGCACCGAATCTGGAGTCCCTGCAGGGAAAGAGACCAGAACCGAATTAGCCATAGTTAGCGGCACAAAACTGAAGATAGCCGCCGAGATTAGCTTCATTTTGCGACGAGATGATCGGATGTAGTAGGCACTGAATGTACGACAGAATAGCTTTAGTAAGTGTGGACTTGTCCTCCTGGTCTTGAAGTGATGAAGAAGGCTTGCTATGAGGGAATACTATGGATTGATAAAGCCGAACCGGAGACTGGAGTCGGATGAATTGTAATCTGCCCATTCATGCATGCGTCATTACTGGACTTAAAAAGGGGCTCTATTGTCCCGAAGGGGGCTAGAGTTGTATTCAAAATACAGAGTACCAATACTGCAGCTCTATTGAATTGGTATTTGTGTTGGTATCGCGGCGTAAGATACGGGTGATATTCGACTACCGTACGAAGTAACTTACTAGTAGTTAGTCAATCAAGTTGGGCGTGCGCTGACTCAGCCTGGCGCCAGTCAGCCCTTTCCCGAACGTCGATTCTGGTGCTCTCAGCTGCTTTCGATTCTGGTTCTGGTTCTGGTTCTTGCTTCCACGCCTTGCGCTTTTCCTTCAGTTCCGTTCAAGCTCTTTCCCCTTCCCTCTTCCCCTCCCCCACCCATTCACCTATAGGTTCTTTCGATTCTCGCTCACTTTGCTTGCTGCTGCTCACTTTTCACTCTCCCTCTGCCCCTCCCCTCCCCTCCGCTCTCCTCTTCTCTTATCCTCCTCTCTGTCTTCTCTCATCCATTCTGTCGACTTTCTTCATTTTACCACCGGAATCACATCCTACTTGCCTATTCCGCTTTTGCTTACGGTCAACGCTCGCTTCGGACCCCTACCCCGTGCTCATTACATCAACTGTCCTCGCGATTCATCTCATCTCTCCCGAGGGCCTTTCTTCTAGCCCCAAAGAAACGAAAACCTCGCCCATCATCTTAGTGTCGTGGGAGCTTTCTTGACTAGGTATCTTCTACAGGAAGTATTGGTCGGCGCTGGATTGATCGCATGAGGTAGCTTGACATCGAGGACACGGGAGGATTGGTAGTGCGCAGGTGCTATTTCGGTGACTGCTGGTTCGGGTGGAGGATTTGCGCCTGCATCCGCGTGTTGTTTTCTCCGAGTCTGACCCCAGATAGCTAGCAAGCATTTGACAAGTTCCGCCGTCTCTTTCCATCTCTTGCTCTTCCAGGAGATCGTTGTTCTTGGAGAGAAACAAAGAAGGGGAAAATAAGAAGTTCTAATCTGGGTATTCAGAAGAAGGTTCGAAACAATCCGCAAGAAGAAAGAATCAACAAAGAAAAGAAGCCAAAATCCGAAATACCATCTGAGAAAGGAAAACAGAAAGAAAGAAAGAAGAAAAAAAATAGGAGGGGAAACAAGGGGGAAAAAAAAGAGAGAAAAACATATTATCGGCGCAAATAACATCTATACAAGAACAAGGAAAGCTTCAAAAGTTGCCGAAGGGGAAAAAAAAACAATAAGGAAGAAAACTCAGAGGAACTGAAGATAATATTCTCTGCGTCTCCAGCTTACAGCATTACCTACTATTCTCTTTAGTCCTTTCCCATTCCCCATTCTGCCCTGCCCATCTCGGCTCCCCTTCTTACCGTGTATCATCCCCATCATGTCTTCTGGGCTGGCCTCCGATGAGGTGGCCGAGGATTACAAAAACTCTTTGGAAGATCTAACCACAAACGACAGGTTCCAGATCAGCAATCTTACGGTCATTGCGAAAGAGAACACAGAGCATGCAATGGCCATCTCCCGCGTGCTGGAGAATCACATTCGAACAGTAGGTGACATACTCTCGCCACTTTCACAACCCCGAGTTGCTGCTGTTGGGCCTGCCGAAGCGCAAGACCGTCTGTAGTTCCGGTTTCTGGATGGATGAGTTCTAATTTGCTCTGTAGACACCGCCGGCTCAGAAGCTGCCTGCCTTGTATGTAGTCGACTCGATCGTCAAGAACGTAGGGACGCCCTACACCTTGTTTCTGGGTCGCAACATGTATCAGACATTCATGAATGCCTATACGTTGGTGGATTCGCAGACTCGTCGCAAGCTTGATGAGATGCTCAAAACATGGAAAGAGCCTGTCCCCGGTTCCTTAGACACCAGGCCCGTGTTCCCTCCAGAAATCACCCGCAGTATCGAAAGTGCATTGATCAAGGCAAGGACTGCAGCCCTTCAGCAACAGCAAGCCCGAAGCCAGCAGGAAATCCTCACGCGTGGTCGAAATGGGACCCCTCCCGGCTGGTCCAATACTCCAACACCACCACAGAATCTGGCCCGGCACCCGCCAGCGTCGAGTCAAACCGTGCCAGCTCCTTACCAACGGAATGGCGCAGGTCATGCATATCCGCCCTCGGTGAGTTTGATCGAGTGAAAGATCCATCGAGTTGGGGTTTACTGAACTGAGTCGCAGGGGGACACGCATGCTGCACGCACCGCGCCAACTGCGCAAATCCACCAACGCTCGGAAATCGATCTATCGGGCTTGAACCGGGATATTGAATCCTTGATTGCCGCAGCCCGCAGTGATTTCGCCACCAACCCTCTCGATCCTGCCGTGCAGCAACGATTGAAAGCTCTCCTCGATCTGCAGGGCATTTTACAACGCCAAGAGCTCACCCAAGAGCAATTGAGGTTGGTTCGTGATCAGGTATCAGCCCTGGCACCGAAACCTGTCATCCCGGTACCTCAAGCCCAAAATATCCCGGCTGTTTCGATGCCTCCTGTAGCCGCTACCCCACCAGCCCAAACGCATTCGCAGCCTCTCCAGCAATTGCTGAATCCGGGTATGCTCGCCGGGCTTATCAAGGCCACCGCTGCACGTCAACAGCCCACCCCACCGCCTCAATTGGCCGGGATTTTGCCGCAGATACCGATTCTAAACAGCACGCCCCAGCCCGCTGTTCCCGCGACAAAGGAGAACCCTCTCATTGCGGCTTTGCGGGCGCAGGGGCTGTTACCACCGGCGTCAGCACCTCCAACTGCGTCCACCATTCCTCCTCCTAACATTGCGTCTGCCTTCCCACTCATCGTGCCTGGCCAGGTGCGATATACGCCGCCTGTACCCACACCGCAGGCTCAGGGTAATGCCGAAGGGCAGATGGATGTGCAGATGAATACCATGTCCATGAAGATGTAAGCTGCGCGTGTGAGAAGACGCCCTTGAAACCTGCTGACTTATGATATCATAGCCCACGATACACACTGGTCACCACTCTCTATGAAATGCGCACCAATCGATGTGGGACGTGTGGCCGTAGATTTTTCGCGACTGAAGAAGGAAAGGAAAAGAAGGCGCGTCACCTGGATTGGCACTTTCGGACTAACCAACGAATGTCCGACGCTGCCAAGCGGGCCCAAAATCGAAGTTGGTACGTTGACGAACGGGTAAGTGATCAGCAATCTTCTGGTGGAAGTCATTCCGAGGTGGTTCACACGCTAAAAATAACGTCAGGATTGGATCAAATCCCGAGAAGCAGGAGACGACCAGAATCCTGCAGACACGGAAGCCTCTGGTGACACCGCCGATGGACATGATGGCAATGTAGCGAAAAAGGGACCGTCCAAGCCTTGGATCCGCGCGCCCAATGATGCGACTTTGCGGAATACTCCTTGTCCAATCTGTCAAGAGAAGTTTGAATCCACCTGGTCCGAGGATGTACAAGATTGGATTTGGCAGGATGCGACCAATGTTGGGAGTCGTGTTTACCATGCTAGCTGCTATGCTGAAGTGACCAAGGAGGGACCAACGCCAGCTAACCGGGGGGTGCCACTGGCACGCACCGGGACTCCAGACTCTGTGCTGGGTAAACGTAAGGCAGAGGTGAGCATTCGATTTTCTTTTCTCTCGAAACAAAGTAGGCTATTCATCTCTAACAATGTTAAGCAGGTGACCAATTCCCCGAGTTCGAATGTACGGATCAAGACAGAGCCCATCTGAATGACAGTGTCCATGCCACATAGAATCCATTCCTTACACCCACTTCCCTTTCATAACATTGCTCTGGAGCGAAGCTGCATCAGCATCCATCAGCTGGTGGCTTTTGTTTTGCATCGGGACCGGAAGACAGGCATTTCCATGGGGCGGCGTTACTGTTTTCCTCTTTGCTGCTTTCCTCCCCCTCTCTTGTGCTTTTTCCCTTTCCAAGACTCCGAGACTTCAAGACTTCAAGGGCACTGCACAATGTCGGTGGGCCACAGGCCGCATACATCCACAATCCACAAATAAATGAATCCCTCTTGCAGACCTTGTATATAGATCACCATTGTGATCTGAAAGGGGAAAAAAAAATAAGTAGAGATGAGTGCTGTCAAAATTCAGCTGATCTGATCTGGTCTGATTCATCTTATCCATAATTTCCTTTTCTTGCTTTTTGCAAGGTGCTTGCTTGGCCTGCCTGTAAGTGACGTACTGTACAGTTCCGTAGGCGGGGGTGGTTTGCCCCGCTCGGCGTTACTCCGCGTTGTCAAAGATAAAATAAATAAACCCCTACGTAGACTACTTAAGGGTCCAGTCCACTTGTTCCCTTGTGCCTTTGTGCCCTTGTGCTCTCACTCCCTTATTGCCCCTTGTCTCGCCTCACCTACCCCATTCCTCTTTAGCCAAATTGTTTGTTACACCTTTTACCATGGGCCCTCACAATGTCCGATGGGGAATAATGGGTAAGCAACATCACAGTTCCATGCATTTGTCCCTTCACGCCCATCCCGCCCCGATTTGAAACATTCTGCACAAACCCAATTGTAATGGCACCAGACTGACTTGTGACAAACTTATTCGAGCTTCGCTTAGCCACCGGCTGGATTGCCGACAGTATGTATCCCTCCCAAATATCCGATGTGTGCAAAGCATCTTGTATGTGGGCCCAATAGTCTGACCAGCAAATAGTCTTCGTTCGGGATCTCCTCCGAGATCCTCAAGAGCGTGGCGCATCTGACGTCTCCCACAGCATTGTGGCAGTAGCGTCATCATCATCGCAAGCTCGATCTGAGAAGTTTATCTCCGACACGGGCATCCCCGCCCCCTGTGCAGCCTACGGCTCCTATGAGCAGCTCGTGGCTGATGCCAACGTGGACGTGGTCTACGTCGCCACCCCCCACTCCCACCACTTCCAAAACGTCATGCTAGCCTTGGAGGCGGGGAAGAACGTTCTGTGCGAAAAGGCCTTCACGGTCAATGCGGCCCAGGCGAAGATCCTGTGCGAGACGGCCAGGAAGAATAACTTGTTTCTGATGGAGGCCGTTTGGACGCGATACTTCCCGCTCAGCGTGCAGGTTCGAGACTTGATCAAGCAGGGGGCCATTGGCGAGGTCCTTCGTGTGATCGCTGACAATAGCTTCGGCGACCCTGTTGAAGAGCGCTGGGGAACGGAACATCGCATGGTCAACAAGGATTTGGCCGGCGGATGTTTATTGGACTGTGAGACTCTCTGACCTACCTCTACCTGAGCCGTGCCCAGTGCTCCAAACCAACCAAAAGCTGACCAGAGAATGCTGCAGTGGGTATTTACTCCTTGACCTGGGTCTTCCAGACCCTGTATCACACCCTTCCCCGGGATCAGCGCAAACCACCTTCGGCCATCTCAGCGCACATGGCGCTCTACCACTTGACTGGAGCCGACGAAGCGACGACTATCCTCCTCAGCTTTCCCACCAGTACGCCGTCCAACCTACCTCACCCAGGTCAATCCCACGCCGTGGCCATGACCAATTTACGTGTCGCTACCGACCCCGACGAGGCCAACACTGCCCGTCCAGCCATTCGCATACAAGGCACCAAGGGTGAGATCCAGGTGGACGGACCGGCGTTCCGACCGGAGCGGTACCGCATCATTCCCAAGAAAGGGGAAGGTGAATTCAAGGAGGTCGAGTGTCCATTTCCTGGCAACGGGAAGGGCATGTTCTGGGAAGCAGATGAGGTGGCGCGGTGCTTGCGGGATGGACGCTTAGAAAGCGAAACCCTGCCATGGGAGGAGAGTATCGTCATCATGGAAGTGATGGATGAGGTTCGGCGCCAGGGCGGGCTGACTTATCCGGAGAAGATCGAGTCAACGATCTACCCCACGCAACTATAGGATTTACGCCGACAGGTTTGAATGGACCGAGGCTTATAAATGCTAGGCCAAATAACACTTTCTATCCCGAAGCACGCTGCCATTCAAATAAGTAGTACTGTACATAACAAATCCCTACCGGAAGGTATTCATCATATATGAAACCTAAGACACATTACAATTTTTCATGTCCATCTACCTCATTCGATCGCTGTAGCCTTCTCTGCGTCGTTGGTCCGTGACCGGCGGAGAGAAGACTTGGGTTCAGATTCCCGCATGATCCGTCTCGTTCCTCGCCGTTCATCCCATCCCGCAAAGGCAAGGTATCAGAATAATGGGTAAGAGGAAGGGATAATGACTCGGATCCCTCCTTGGTGGGAATTGCAGCAACTAACTGCTTAGGGCTTCTGGAAAACCCCCAAGAGTGACTTCCACACCTGGCCAGGCTCTTGGCTGGCGTCGATGCCACGCCAGATACCGGTTTTCTTGTAGTAGTCAACCACAGGAGCCGTCTGGGCGTGGTAGGTGCCAAGACGCTTTTTGAGAGTGTCGGCGTTGTCGTCGGAACGCTGGATCAAAGGCTCGCCGGTAATATCATCCTTCATCTCCTCCTTGGGGGGGTTGAAAATCTTGTGATAAGAGCGTCCGGAGGCCGGGTGGACCAGACGCCCAGTGATACGAGCAACCAACAGAGCATCGTCAATCTGCAGCTCAACGGCATGCTGGAGCTTCTGCTGACGCTCGGCCAACATGTCATCCAGGCGCTCGGCCTGCGCAACAGTGCGCGGGAATCCATCGAGGATGAAACTAGAAACCGCACATTGTCAGTCAATGCTCTTTTGTTGTGGCTCAAGGATATCAGGAACAGAAGGTGGGTGGAGGGTGGACAGACCCGTTCTTGCACTCGGTGTTGTTCTCAAGCTCACTCTTGATCATGTTGACCATGATCTCGTCGCTGACCAAACCTCCCTGATCCATGATCTTCTTGGCCTCTCTTCCCAGATCAGTCTTCTTGGCAACCTGAGACCGCAGCATGTCACCGGTAGCCTATTCGCAAATGAACAGTCAGAACCAAGTATCCGTGAATCCAGACTCTATCCACCAGAGCATAAACTCACCAAGTGGCAGACGCAGTACTTCTCCTTAAGCCGGGGGGCCTGAGTACCCTTGCCTGAATACAGCAATCGGTCAGAATTCCGCACCAAGAACAAGGGGAGGGACAGGAAGGGCAAGATAAGAGGTATTTTTCAAGCGTACCAGCACCGGGAGGTCCCATCAGAATGATGCGCATGTGCTCAGCAACAGACTTGGGCTTGACTTCACTGGTGAGGCGACCCTCCAGGTCCTCAATGCGAGCCTCAAGCTTTCCGATGGTGTCCTTGAGCCCATGGATGATCTCTTCCGTGATGGGAGCCATTGCGATTGACAAATATGGTGAGGAGAGGTTGTGGGATTGACACTACCAAAGGTAGCCGGGGAAAGAGACAAGCGGAGTGGGCAAAAGGAGGCACGGGGAGAGAAGGATGAGGGTGCGCAGAAGTAACGGGGAAAGGGAAGCGGATAGAAAGTTGACTTCGTTTTGGGGGGGGGGGGGGTTAAGTGGTTGAAAAGAGGCCGCCGACCGGAGTGCCGGGGTGGAGTCGCGGCGCGCCCACCCGAGGCTGCGGCGCCGCGCGGAGCAATGATCAACTATTTGTACGGAGTAGAGAAGTCTGTAATGCAGTATGCAATTGCAATTGCCATTGCCGTGACCATGGGCGAAGCAAGGGACCTATATTCTAGGCGAAAGTTGCTCCTTTACACTATTTATTTAACATGTGCGACAATTGCTAGTTGGTGCAGAGTGCAGACAGACGCATTTCGGACGGATGGACAGCGAGACCGCCCGTGGTGCCTTGAAGCCTGAGGCAATACACGCAGCATACCATGTGTGGCTGATGCATTAACCAACTGTTCAGCCACACAACACCCGGAAGCTCCCCCGAACTGCCACAGCTCTTCCATCGTCATCTCTCACTCTCTCACTCTCTGTCTCTCTCTATCTCTCCCTCTGCCTCTCCTCGGACTTCCTGTCACTGCCTACCCATCCTCATCTCATCTGTGCTTAAGCTCTCTCCCTCCATCGTTTGATCAGCCTGGTCGTCACTATACTTGTTTCCCCACGAAACTGTCTTCTCACTTAGCCTAGAGACACCGCTCTGCGTCCTTGTTTCCCGCCATGCCTGCCACCACGGCGGACACACTTTCCCTTGTCCAGCGAACTGTCACGGTTGCCCCATTAGTCCTTCTTTCCGTCGCAGATCACTATGGTCGCTCAGCCAAAGGCACTCGGAAACGAGTGGTGGGTGTGTTGCTAGGAGAGAACTCGGGCCAGACTGTCCGCGTATCGAACAGTTTTGCCGGTAAGTTCATCTGTTGGCAGATTCTCTCGCACTGTACCGGATTGAACTGACCCTTCCGGGTGAGTAGTCCCCTTCGAGGAGGATGAGAAGGACCCGTCTGTGTGGTTTCTCGACCACAACTTTGTCGAGTCAATGAGAGACATGTTCAAGAAGATCAACGCTCGGGAGAAGCTGGTCGGATGGTATCACTCAGGCCCGAAGCTGCGCGCCTCAGATCTGGAGATCAACGAGCTCTTCAAACGATACACACCCAACCCCCTGCTGGTAATCGTGGACGTTCAGCCGAAAGAAGTGGGCGTTCCGACCGACGCTTACTTTGCCGTTGACGAAATCAAAGACGTAGGTTTTCATGCAATTCAGTTCTCGGTCCCTATTTCTGCCTGGGTCTCTAGCTAACAAACTGGGGATGATCGTCCACAGGATGGCACCACGACGTCCAGAACCTTTGTCCACACACCGTCCATAATTGAAGCAGAGGAGGCCGAGGAGATTGGAGTGGAGCACCTACTCCGTGATATCAGGGATGTCGCTGTGGGAACACTTTCTACTCGGATAACATCCCAGCTGCAATCGCTGCAGGGCCTGCATCTGCGTCTGCGTGACATCGGCCAATATCTGCAGAAAGTTCTCGACCAAGAACTGCCGGTCAATCATGCCATCTTGGGCAATCTCCAAGATGTGTTCAACCTTCTCCCTAATTTATCTACCCCTGCTGCAACGCCTCGCATCAGCGGTGGTACCCCGGAACAGCAGACGGATAATAGCGAATTGGCACGGGCCATGAGCATCAAGACGAACGATCAATTGATGGCGATCTACTTGAGCAGCTTGATTCGCGCCATCACTGCTTTCCACGACCTGATTGAGAATAAGATTCAGAATCGGCAGCACCAAGAAGAGAACGAGCTGAAGAGGGAGCAGGATGCCAATGCGGCCAAGGACGACAAGGACACGACTAAGAAGACCAATGGCGCCGTCAGTGGAGAGCAGAAGGATGACCAAGAAGGAGTGAAGGATAAGTCTAAGAGGAAGAGTTCAAGAGGGGAATAGATGGGCCTGGAGTCAACGCGATACGATCAATTATCAAGGACCAATTCATTTATTACATGAGATTGTATATTAGGGCAGCCTCGGACACGGCTGATCATGATCATACGGGGTCATTTTCGGAGACATCGATCGTGCTGGGTATTCAGGCGCACCGTAGGCTGTTAACACCACACCCTGATCTTTATAGTGAGGCAGTCAAATCCCGGGACGTGGCCACGCTGGAGCCCCCTCCGACTCGTGACATAATTACAACACGGCTTCATCCGCCCCAACCCGCACACCAGCCTGCCAACTCCTCCGCGCTGACACGGACGAAGCCGTTATTCCCTTTACCCAATAGATTGGGACAGCGAACAGCCAGCCAACTCGCAAGGAGGTGCTTGCAAACGGGGGGCGATGACCGGACCGATCCGCGTGCCAACGTTCCTCCGAATGGGTAAGAACCATGGGAGATTGCATGCTCCGGGCGTGGCAATAAATCGATAGCAGAAGCAGTAGCGATTGTAGATAAGGAGGTCAATTCAGGTGCGGGTGACAATGACCCACGAAATGCAGCCAAGGTGAACGTAGGACATGTACAGCTCCAAGCTTGCAGGCGGACTTCGTACGCTTCGGTCTCACTATCTGTACTATAAGGGTGATATCGCGATGCGGATTGCGTGGGAACGCTGGAGGCTGAATTCACCAGGAATACATCCTCTGTCAATCCTGCCGACGAGGCCTGGGTAGTGAGATCCCCGGCGTACATGGTGGGGCTAATCGTCGCGTCGTGAGTCGATACTAAGCGTCTTACCAATCTTCGGTCAAGGATATCCAAAGCGAGCAGGAGTTCATTAGGGAAAAGACAGTGGAGAGCGAGCATCAGAGACTTTACACCGGCTATCTGGGTCGCATGCAGCGCAGAAAAACCGCGGGGCGGGCTTTCTCCGCGGGCTGGATATTGCAGTTCTTCGTGTTGCTGACCATCGCTCGAAGTATTGACCTTGGGGATCGGAATGGCAGACGCCACCTGGTCCACAAAGTCGGCAGGAGTGAAGAAATCGCTTTGAGGTTTGTGATTGTGAATGTCCATTGGGCTGGCGGTTCGAAGAAGAAAAATTCGAGGTTGTTGCAACGGACGGGATATGCATTCGGGTGAGCCGGTAGGTATCAACCCATGGGCAAAGTTTTCCCATTTCTCCCTCTATCTGCATACAATTGATGCACACCCCAAGAGACGATTCTAAATCTGGTTCTAGACCTGATATGGGTATGAATGCTCTATCCATTTCGGACTCGACGGAGACAAAAAAGCCAGAGTAGTCCCACCATGGAGCACAAACAACATATCGGTCGTAAACTATAGGGCAGCAGAATACCACAGTCTAAACACAAACCCAGCAATAGGCATAAGATGTCAACCAGCCACTCCGCGGCTTTGCTGCAGAAGCTTTGCTGCAGATCGTGTGAAGGGTCGATGGCCTGGGGGAATCTTGGGCTTAGGCAACTTTTTCTTGAGGACACCCCGAGGTCTGGCTGTCTTACTTACCGGTTGCGCGGGAATGATATTTGGCTGCAGGGGAATGATCCCTTCGCCTTCGAGGACTTCGCCCGTTGTAGAAGTGAGCTTGATTCGTATATGTGCCCGCTGCACTCTGGCCCTGGCTGATTTCAACTTGATCAAAGCTCTACTATCACCAGGAGGTGCCAGCTGTTGCTTGAAAGTCCATCGAACGGCTCTTCCCTTGAACATAATAATTTCGTCCAATGTGACTGCACAGGGAGGTTGTTCGATGGACGGGCCCTCCTCTTCGCAATCTGGTGTTAGCGGCAATGTTGATCGCAAAGGCGAAGATTGTGTCCGGCGATAAGCTAGTACATATACATCCTTGCGATTTTTCTCGTAAGACCTGAGGTCTGCAAGTGTTTTTGCGGATACTGTGCCATCGTTGAACCCAGCCCAGTCACCATACGGGCCCTGTGCAAAGCAGTTATAATGACCATGGTCGATGCTTCTACCCAGATGATTGACAAACGCATACAGCCGATATTGTATCATCTCAGGTGGAAAGGTCAAGGTCTCTTCGATGCAGACATAGTCTTGATTCTTCTGTTTATCATGCTGGAACCGATTTATCTGAACGAAGAAAACTTCCGGGTAAAGAACAATTTCTTGACGAATTTCGTGCTTGATTCTGGAGCCACCACAGCCGCGACAAGCCACTTGCAAAGATGTCGGACGCAGGTTGTTCTCTATTGTCTTGAGTAGACCATGAGAGCCCGGGCAAAGGTCTTCTGGAAAGCTCGCAATAAGCCACCAGTTCATACTCCTTGGTAGACTCCTCCGCTGACCGCACTGAGAACATTGACCTTCTCGGGCGATGATGCTTTGGAAAATGCTCTCAAGGTCGCTTCAACGAAGTTAGTTTCTGGCATGCCTGGGGGTGGATGAGAACATACACTCTTGCGTTCTCCGTACTATCGGCATGCAGCCGCGCAATCAAGGCGTCCAGAAACTCACACATATCATGTTGTTCTCGAATATCGCGGCCTTTCCATGCAGCATTTTGAATATGCAGCCAGAGAAGCTCAAGGCATGGTTCAAGATCGCGTGGAGATTCGAGCCAATAGACTTCATATAAACGGCACAATCGACATCCTAAGCAATCGTCCGGGAAGCCGCAATTCTCGCGGTCGTGACTTGGTTGATAGGAACACCTCAGCCAATTCCATAGTTCGGGAATATGCAATAAGAGGATCAGTGCCGCATTCCGGTAGCATAGATTTCCTGGGTTCTCAAAACCTCTGGGATTTCTATAAGTCTCGTTGGGCCACGCTGTTCCGAGTTGGGTTCCCTAGACGCAGAGTAAGTCCACTGTGAACAGTCAAAGCATTTGTTTCACCAATGACGCACCGCGTTATGAGATATATTAGCTGATTCACTCATAGTTAGTACACCTCCTGTCTGGGCTTACTGTGCCACCTGCTACAGGGACTGAGTACAATCAGATTCTGAGTAATAAGTGCTTACGTGCGTACAAGTTGAGTCCAGATAATAGTATCTTATCATAGTTGCCATGCAGATACTGTGCCAGTCCTTGTATATAATACTGATCTTATGGTTGAAAGAGTCCTATGAGAGAACAATAGTTAGTATATACCTCCCTTATAACTCAGGGGGTTCCTTCTTTTGTTGATGGAAGACCTTTGTATATAAACATATGTTGCTTGGTATGTGGCTGATAAAGAGGTTACTTAAGGGTGAATAGTGGTTGTTCGAAATCTTGCTCTTTGTTAACATTGCTGTCAATAATTGGTGTAGTATGTGGTAATAGCAAGATCTATTGGTAGAGGTAGTTTGTATATATTCCTCTGACATTGATCTCTTTATGTAAATTTAATTTACACATAGCTCTGTAGAACAATAGCACTTCATACTCTCCTATGTCATTCCTGACTATTTACAGTCTGCTCTTTGGATTGAGACAAGTAGTGACTGGTTTCTATGCCAATCAAGTTGGAGATATTCTAAGATTGATTTGACCAAGTGAAAGGATACTGTATATTATCTCTATATCAAGTTATTAGGGAAACATGTAGCTGGTCATGACAATCTATTAATAAATACATTGTCCATTCCACAGACCGTCTTCATCAGGTTTGAGATATATGTTTTTGTGTATTGTAACTACCGACAGCTGGTATGTCAGTTGGGCTATTCCTAGACCCTTCAAGTAAGCCTTGCATGATAATACCTCCCTACGTGTTGTTTTACCAGTCAAGCCTTGAGACACTAGAACCACACTCCATTTGATAAATCCCAGCTCAGGAGGATCGCTAGTACTGATATATTCCATTTCCTTGTGCGTAGTATGGAGGTGGTTTATTCCGTTTACTTGTCACTCTTTGTTAATTCTAACATGCTCATACATGGAACAGCTGAAAGGCCTGGCTGATATGCAGGGCAACAAGGAATCTACTCGTCTTTGTATGCCGCATATGGGGTTTGTCCTTGTAGCTTGTCCCCGGTGAAAGAGGCATACGTATCTTCAATTTTTACAAAGCATGTTATTGACTTCTTGAGATTCAGCGGGGTTCATAGCCTTTCACATAGTAGGTAGGTAAGGCAGCCGCTGCACGAAGGAGGGGAGGTCAGGCTCAACCAAAATTACCAAAGGGTCCCTTACATCTCCCAAGTGATGGGGCTCTGTGCTAATGCGTCTATCTCTTACACAATACCTGAACCTGTCTAAGGTTGAATCAGTCGTCAGCAGGTTGATTACCTTGACGCTTCCTACACGGGAGGTTTCAAGAAGGATTTCTGTATAACAGTGACTCAATAGCTAAAGGTGTAATATATAACAAGGAGTGACAGTACAGTGGATCAAGAAGCAGCCGTTTACGCAACCCCGGCAAGTCATTCGAAGTCACAATAGTTAAGTACATACATGTAGTTGACTGTCCACAAATTCATCCCACATTTGTGTGCTAAGGTAAGTGAGAAAGAATGCCCTCATTTCCAAACTCTCAACGTTCAATCACCAGGATGTCGGAGGCTCACAGCAAAGGCAGCGGACAGGGTTTAGGGACATCTGAAACAATGAGATACTACAAGTAACAGCATCCATGTATTGTAGGATCGATCCATCTGTCGTTTGCAGGCTCTGTCTGGCCTTCATTTATCATAAACCACAGAAGGGGCGCGAACAGGCGACAGACAGTCGGACACATCCGAGATTGTCAAGTCTGGGCCATCACCGCCTCGGGGCCATGACTCGTTGGTTCACGAACTGTTGGACAAGTTGACATGCTTTCCCACTTCATTTACGGCGGTTCCGCTGCTTGGACGCGGGAATGACCGTGTTGCAAGTGTGATCTTAATTTCCCTGCCCTTTTACCCCACTCTACACAGCCCAGGTTCTTGTTTCATCTTGTCCGATGTGGAGCGGAATTAATTACCACCTGCAAGCCTCTACGCAGCCCGCCACATTGATTGCCGTCAGATTCTGCCCGCCGCAACACACTTGTATCGACATGATCGCTTCTTCTCGCAATGGAAAAGGGCTCGGAGAAGGGTTCAATGGAGGGGGAGAGATCATTTCCGCTTGCTCTCCCTTGTTGTTTTTGGAGGGGATGCAATGGAGGAGAGAAAGACGTGGTTCACAAGGCTGAAGAGACCGGGCGGGACGCGCTTCAACCCAGCATCGACAAAAAGCACTAAAAAGTCAGTTTCATTGACTCCAATCTTAGGGGAAGTCAGTCCATTCGTACTACGGAGTAAGTACATTCACGCTGTTACTTCCTTATCTGGGTGCGTAGCCTGTTACCGGTCGAGCGAGGGTCTCAAACAACGATTCTGGCCTGAGTCCAAAGAGTCGGGGTATACCAGGTAGATAGAGGATTGGTGAGTGGCGATGTATGTACTGTAATCTACCTAATACAGTGCTGTACGGAGATGTGTAGGTATAAAAGGTGGCAAAGGACAACCAACGTTCACAAGTTCCCAGAATTGCACAAGCAGATCCTTTCTGGATATGCTCCATGTGGATTATGTCGATGACGTTGCAACGTTTTCATCTGGGCCCAACTGACAGTCATGCCATTCAAGGAAAAGCAGAGAAATGTTGAGCCCGTATTCATTACCGATAGCCCCTCCACCCGAGAATGCGCCATGAACCACAGTTTGCTGCAGGTTCAAGAACCGGAGGAGTAAACCATAGATGCCCCCTTAAGTTAAGTCCTTTCAAACCTGAAATGGCTTTGACTTCC